AATTTTTCATTGCTACACAAATATAAGGAGCCCTGGTGGTGCAGTGGTTAAGAGCTCAGCTGCTAACCAAACCAAAAAGGTCAGCAGCTGGAATCCACCAGGCGCTCCTTGGAAACCCTAGGGGGCATTTTACTCTGTCCTTTAGGGTCGCTATGAGTCAGAATCGACTTGATGGCAACAGATCTGGTTTTGTTTTGTTTTTATTTTTGGACACAAATATAAGGTACTATATAAAAATTAAGGTTTCACAGTTTTATCATCATTGTGATAACTGAATCTATAGAAATTATGCCCTACGGGCAGCAAGCAGGTGAAGCTATGCACCTTGAATCTAGAATCAGTAAGATTCCTATAAACAGCATCCAGGTTGAGGGTCCTCAGGTGCCACCTCATAATCATGTGCCCCCTAATAATCATCAGTCTAACAAGAAAGCAAAGAAAGGAAAGATCAAATCAGATAAAACTCGACACAAATAAGGATTGTTCCAATGCTTGAACTATTTGGTTTCAACAGATCTTTCAAAGATCTTTGCCCAGATTCAGTGTCCAGCTGCTCCGGTGAAGGTAGACCCTCTCATTCCTCTTCTCTCTGGACATTTCTGCTGAGCAGCCTGAAGTGTGGGATTCTCCTTCCTCCCCCAGTCAAACACAAGCAAATTAACAAACAAAACAGAAACCTGGGGATTCACCCGAGAAGTTTCCCTTCCCTTCAATGCCCAAGCTACGTGCCCATCCACATCCACACACAGTCATATCACAAGCAGTTACAAGTTGCATAGGCTCTTCCTGCTTAACCCCCTCCTCCCTAAGCCTATTGCTCCTACCCTTTGTCACCCATCAACACTTCCTACAAAAGTCTCCCTGCCTCCATCTCTCTCCTCCAAGCCATTATCCATTCTCATCCAGAGTGGTTTTTTAAAACACAAATCTGCCCACATTTAAAAACCATTCCCTAGGTTTAAAGGGCCTGCTGTGGAACCTGTCATCCAGAACCCTCCATGACATATCCCCACCTCTCCATTCTCACTCTCATTACACAGCACTCACACATAACACAACCACCACCAGATATACCTGACTGCTTACATAATACCAGCCACCAGGTACTGAGCACTTTATATGTGCCACACACCACACTAAGGTCTTTACATGCCATTCTTATGAGGAATGTTTATAGTTATCTTCATTTTACAATTATAGAATCCTAGGCTTAGCTGGGAGAGGTAACTTAACCAAGGCCACACAGTGGCAGAGTCTGGATGCAAAGCTTGGTCTAAAGGGACCATGCTCTTAGTCAATGCACTAGATGACCCTGTTGCTCCATGCTATTTTGAGCCTGATCTGTTTCCATGTCTATTTCCCTCATCAGACTTCTTCTGATGGTGGGGACTGTGTCTGGTTCATCACCTAGAGTATGGTTTACACAAAGACACCTGGAGGGTTCTGCCCCCAGTAAGAATCATCTAGGTAAATATGGACCAACTACCTCACTGAGAACAATGAGAAAAGCTGAACAAAATCAAAATCTGTTTGGGCACTCTGAGAGATAACAACACAGTGAAAAATTATGGGGTCAAGATCCTGCAGAAGAAAGAAACCCACAGAGGGCAGCCCTACATTTGTGGCCTATTTTTCTCTAAGGGCATCTGCGAATTCTAGAAGAGGCTGATAAGCTGAGAAGAATTTTTGACAGACTGATAGAGCTAGGAGACCAAAACCTGGAGTCCAGAGACTGCCAAAGAGAAATTTCCCTGGGCTTTTGGTTGGGACTCTGAAGGACCATTTCTTAGGAGTAAAGGTATACCAGAAATAGGCCAGCCCTGGCACAGTGGTTAAGGGCTCAGCTGCTAACCAAAATGTTCAAGAAAAATGTGGCAGTCTGCTTCTGTAAAGATTACAACCTTTGAAACCCCATGGGACAGTTCTACTTTGTCCTATAGGGTCACTGTGAGTCAGAACTGACTCAGTGGCAACAGGCTGGTTTTTTGGGTTTGAAGAAAATGAAGTCCAGTTTTGAATGATCTCAACCCTTGGTTGGATTACTCCTGGAAGATTACATCATCCCAGGCCTCAAATTATCTTCTCAATTTTCATGTACAATGTCTGGCACATAATCAAAAATACCTAGGCATATGAGGAGACAAGAAAATCTGACTAATAAGTCGTGGAACTATAGATAATAGGTCAGATCCAGAGGTCCAGATAATGGGGTTTTCAGATAGAGACTTCCAAAATTGTTATGCTTAATATGCTTGAGGAAATAAAAGACAAGATTGAGCATTTCAGCAGACAACTGGAAACTTAAAAAAAATTCAGAGAAGTTATTTGTAACTATTCGTCAAAAGGAAAAAAGGAAAGGCCAAGTTGATGAGCCATACTGAGCCATATCTAGTGACGGTCAGCTAGTAGACTGTGGCCCTCCTGCCTGGCCAGGAGAAACTGTAGGCAATGTAGCATCCCAGTTAAGAGCATGGACCCTGGAGCCAGGCTGCCTGGGCTTAAAACCTGGTCCTATCATTTCTTTTCCTGACAGTTGTAGGTCAGGTTTGTATCTTTTCACCATACTTATTCAATCTGTATGCTCAGCAAATAATCCCAGAAGCTGGACTATATGAAGAAGAACAGGGCATCAGGATTGGAGGAAGACTCATTAACAACCTGCAATATGCAGAAAACTCAATCTTGCTTACTGAAAGGGAAGAGGACTTGAAGCACTTGCTGATGAAGATCAAAGACCACAGCCTTCAGTATGGATTACATCTCAACATAAAGAAAACAAAAACCCTCACAACTGGACCAATAAGCAACATCATGATAAATGGAGAAAAGACTGAGGTTGTCAAGGATTTCATTTTACTTGGATCCACAATCAACACCCAGAGAAGCAGCAGTCAAGAAATCAAATGACATAATGCGTTGGGCAAATCTGCTGCAAAAGATATCACTTTGAGGACGAATGTGTGCCTGACCTTAGTCCTTGTATTTTCAATCACCTCATATGCATACAAAAGCTGGACAATGAATAAGGAAAACCGAAGAAGAATTGACACGTTTGAATTACGGTGTTGGCAAAGAATACTGAATATACCATGGACTGCCAGAAGAACAAACAAATCTGTCTTGGAAGAAGTACAGCCAGAGTGCTCCTTAAAAGTGAGGATGGCAAGGCTTCATCTCACCTACTTTGGACATGTAATCAGAAGGTACCAGTCCCTAGAGAAGGACACCATGCTTGGTAAAGCACAGGGTCAGCAAAAAAGAGGAAGACCCTCAAACAAGATGGACTGACGCAGTGGCTGCAACAATCGGCTCAAACATAGCAACAACTGTGAGGATGGGACCAGGCAGTGTTACGTTCTGTTGTACATAGTGTTGCTATGAGGTGGAACCAACTCGACGGCTCCTAACAACAACATCATTTTCTAGTGTGTGCCCTTGGGCAACTACTTAACCTCTCTCAAACCATCATCTATAAGGTGGAAAAACAACAATACCTACTTCATAGAGTTGTTAAGAGAATTACATGAGTCAGTGTTTGTAAAGTTCTTAGGACAGTGTCTGGCACATCTGTTGTGGCTGTTGTTAGTTGTTGGTTGCCATTGAGCCGGTTCCAGCTCATGGGGATCCCATGTACAACAGAATGAAATGTTACTTGGTCCTACACCATCTTCATGATCCTTGCTATTTTTAAATCCATTGTTGCAGCCACTGTGTATTTTCAGTGCCTTCCAACCTAGGGGAGCATTCCAGCATTGTATCAGACAATATTCTGTTGTGATCCATAAGATTTTCATTGGCTAATTTTCAGAAGCAGATCACCAGCCCTTCCTTCCTAGTCTGCCTTAGTCTGGAAGCTCTGCTGAAACGTGTCTACCGTGGGTGACCCTGCTGGTATGTGAAATACCAGTGTCATAGCTTCCAGCATCACAGCAACACACAAGCCACCAGAGTATGACAGTTTAAGTGTTTGTCAAATAAATAAACACAACTGAATTCAGCTCAGCAGACCATCATATCACCTGGCTCAACCTCTCTCTCCAGTTGCCTTTTTTCCTACTTTTCTGCACTCAGTACTCCAATCTACACATCAATCATATTTACTACTTCAAACATATCCTGCTCATTTCCCATCCTTGCACTTGCCATTTCTTCCCTCTGCCTGAAAAGCCTTTCCTCACTTAACCCACTTGGAAAACTTCTGCCCATGCTTCAAGAACTAGTTAAAATATCACTTCCTCTGAGAAGCACTTCTATGACCCTTCCAGCACTAATGACTTCCTCTTCTACGCTCAGCCAGCCCTAATCTTCTCTTTAGCATGGTGCTCACCAAACTTTGTGGTCACTTCTGTCTATGTGTCTGTCCTCCCCGCTAAACCAGATTGCCTTATAGCAGGAACTATGTCTTACCTTCACCAACATCTACATTTTGTCATACTGTGGAGGCTTGTGTATTGCTGTGATGTTGGAAGCTATACCACCGGTACTTCAAATGCCCACAGGATCACCCACGGTAGACAGGTTTCAGTGGAGCTTCCAGATTAAGAGAGACTAGGAAGAAAGACCTAGTGATCTATTTCTGAAAATTAGCCAACGAAAACTCTATGGAGCATAACAAACTATGTACAAGATAGTGCTAGAAGATGAGCCCGCTCGATTGGAAGGCACTCAAAACACACACTGGCCTCAACAGTGAACTCGGGCATACCCATGATCGTGCAGATGGCACAGGACTGAGCAACGTTTTGTTCTGTTGTACATGGGGTCCCATGACTCGGAGTTGACTCCATGGCACCTAACAACAACTAATAACATGGCTTATCCATCTCTTTTCCTAACTGCCAAGCTGTGTTCAGTACACAGCTGGTGTTTGATGATGACTACTGAGTGCTCCATGAATGATTAATGGATGAATGAATAAATGAGATATACTCAGTGTCTGCTCTCATTCCCCTGCAGAGAAAACACATCTTTGAAAGTATAATGAGATTTAGAACTCTTACTCTTCTAAGGCTTGCAGCATGCTCCCGGGGTCCTCAGAAGACAGAATGTCTACCATCTGGTCACTGAGAGCAAGATCCTCATTCACGCCATCGGCCGAGGTGAACTGGGAGTGCTCCAGCTTGCTCTCGTGGTGCTGAACCTTCAGGAGAATTCCAGAAGCAAGAAGTTAGTGGGCCTCCTTGTGAATGCCATGCGAGGGAAGGTGGGGGATCTGGAGTCAGAAAGACTGGTGGGCCCCACTACTTGTGAGCAGGGTAGACTCAGGTAAGCCACCTCCCTGACCCTCCATTTCCTCATCAGAGAAATGGGCTCATAACTCTTGTAGCTCTGCACAGAAGTGTTGTGTGGCTAAAATGAAGCAATGGATGGAAGAGTCCTTTGTAACCTGTAAAGACCTATACAAACATTGCACCACCATCATCATAATCAATTTGCCCGATTTGAGCAAACTGGCTGCAGGAGATCTCTTTAAAGTGTTAAAAAGCAAAGATGTCACCTTGAGGACTAACGTGTGCCTGATCCAAGCCATGATGTTTTCAGTCACCTCATATGCATGCAAAAGCTGGACAAAGAATAAGGGAGACCGAAGAAGAATTGACACGTTTGAATTATGGTGTTGGCAAAGAATACTGAATATGCTACGGACTGCCAGAAGAATGAACAAATCTGTCTTGGAAGAAGTGCAGCCAGAATACTCGTTAGAAGTGAGGATGGTAAGACTTCGCCTCACATACTTTGGACATGTTATCAAGAGGGACTAGTCCCTGGAGAAGGACATCTTGCTTGGTAAAGTAGAGGGTCAGTGAAAAAGAGGAAGACCCTCAATGAGACAGACTGACACAGTGGCTGCAACAATGGGCTCAAGCATAGCAACAACTGTGAGCATGGGGCAGGACCGGGCAATGTTTTGTTCCGTTGTGCATAGGGTCGCTATGAGTCGGAACCAACTTGACAGCACCTAACAACAACAACAACATCATTATCATCATCAGTATCATAAAGGAAACTGCAAGCAGCATGGTGGAACTCAGCACCAAGGGTCTGGCTGGCTTCAAATCAGAGTGTAGACTTTTGAGATGAAAAGGACATAAGAGGTAATTAAGGCCAGCCCTCTGACTGTAGATGATATATATGTTCTGTTCCCAATTATTATTAATTCTGCAGAAATGGGCAATACCCAGGGCTAACATTTAAGAATCCCTGCCCTTTTGCTGAGTAATATTCTGGGTGCTTTGTTTATGTTACATCCTTAAGCTGTTCCAACAACAAGATAAGTGTTGTTGCCCCACTTTACAAATAAGGAAACTGAGGTTCAAAGAGGTGAAATAACATACTTTAAGGAGCCCTGGTGGTGCAACGGTTAGGTGCTCGGCTGCTAACCAAAAAGTTGGCGATTCAAACTCACCCAGCGTCTCCGTGGGAGAAAGAACTGGCAATCTGCTCCCCAAAAGATCACAGTCTAGGAAATCATATAGGACAGTTCTACTCTGTCACATGGGGTCACAATGAGTTGGAATCGACTCAACAGAACCTAACAACAACAGCAAGGTCACAGAGTTCATAAAGAGCCAGGCTGGTATCTGATTCCAAGTCAGCCTAACTCCGAAAGCTGTCGTCTTCTGCCTTACACACCATGTTGTCTCTACGGATGCCACCATGCTGGCAGAAAATAAAGAAAAATGTGAAAAGAGTTCATTCTGGGATGGAGGGGAAAAAATACTGCAGGGGTTGTCAGCCCTTCAATCAAAGTCACCCTTTGCTTGCCTCTCCGCGGTTCTAACGGTCAGCCTTTAATCTCCAGGAAATAAATCCTGCTCCTCCATCAAAGTAGCTGAGTGTGTTCTGTTCTTTTCTGATTGATAACAGCTTGGGGAGAGTCCGTAGAATGTCTGATTAGACGGGCCATTTCTTCTCCTCACTTTTGCCTGCCAAGGAGGCCGTGGGCTGACCTCTCTTTGGAATGACAACCTCTCCTCCAGGAAGCAGAAACAGAATGAACAATGCGTCCTAGGCTGCGAAGGCCTTGCAGTGCTCCAGAGCGAGGGGACTGAGAAGTCCATGTCCCAGCCTAAGCCTGGCCACTCTAAGTAAGTTGTCGAACCTCGTGGGCCTTGGTTTCCTCAATATAAAGACAGGGAGGAAGATGGCAGATGCGTCTTTGGAGGTGCTGGACTTGAAGACACAGAGTCACAAGAGCCCAGGCTCCAAGGGCCCCGTAGGAACACATCAACCTGCCAAGGGTGCTCACTATCAACAATGCCTTCTGGAAAGCTTCAGGAGCTCATCTTACTCCGTGAACTGCCACCTTGCTTTCTTCCCTCTGTCCCTCTGTAAAAATGGCATAGGGGTGCTGGACCTCCTCATCTATCTTCAGGAGGGAGAGGAGAGAGAATCAAGATCAGCATCAGCCCAAGGCTGATTCCTATGAGGTAGAGGTCAGACAGACCTACACTCTCCAATCTTTTTACCAATTCTGACACCAGCCGTCCCTCCCACGGCACCCTCTACTTCTCTGCTGGGCTGGATAATTCATTGCAATGGCCACACAGAACTCATAGACTATACTCACAGTTATGGAGTTTATTAGGAAAACAACAGGTTACAGCTTGGGATCAAGATCAACAGGCTATAACTCCAGATCAGAATCAGGAAGTGGGTAAGTATTCTCCCTTCTCAGTGTAGGATAGCTCTCTCAGTTCCTCTCGGCCAGGCAGGGCTTCTCTCAGCCCCCTGAGGACAGGTTCCCCTTGGTCCCCTGAGGACAGGTTCCTCTTGGCTTCCTGAGGACAAGCTCCTCTCGGCCCGCTCAGGACAGGCTCATCTCAGCTCCCTCAAGACAGGCTCTTCTCGGCCCCCTCGGGACAGGAACCTCTTGGCCCCCTCAGGACAGGGTCCTCTCAGCCCCCTCAGGACAGGCTCCTCTCGGCCACCTCAGGACAGCCTCATCTAGGCCCCCTCACGACAGGCCTCCTCTCTTGGCCATCAGCCCTTGGCCCCGCTCAGGTCTGGCCTCTGTCCTGCTCAGTCAAGTGTTACAAAGCTCTTTAGCTCTGCAGATAAGTGCCCAGAGGCACCCTACTCTACTAGGAAGCTTTCTGCCCAAAGGCTCTCAGCTTTCTCACTCCATGAGTCAGCATATTCACTGTATTCACCTTGCTCCATGGGCCAGGAAGCCCACCACACTGTCTCTCATCTGTCTCCTGATTCTGCTGCTGCCATTTGTCTGACACTGCTTCTCGCCATCTTGCACCATTTCCAGTGCTCTCTCTCTTTCTCCTGGGTCTAGGAGGTTCTCAGAGCAGGGACCCCAGATCCAAAGGAAGCACTCTACTCTCAGTTCTTCTTTCTTGATGGTATTGAGGTCCCCTATCTGCTCTGGGATTGGCTCTCTTTTAAGCCTAGCAGGATGGCAAAACTGACCAATCCCCTCATTAGGGTTCCATACACCTTATTCGCATGGTATCACCCTCCAGAGTTTCCATGCACCTTATTTGCATTCTTAGCAGGTTGTCCAATCCCTCTGGTGGGCTGCAAATACCTCACTTGCATAGTCCTACCCAATCATTCTGTGGGAGTCACAAGACCATGCATGGCTAGAAGGGCCATATTAAAACCCTTTCAAAACCCAATTATTTACCACTTTGAATTTTTTTTTAATACCATGTGTTTTCATTAATGGAAGCATGCTAAGTCATGGAGTGTGTTTATATTTTTGGTTGGTAACACACATTTTGAGAAATATTATGTGGGAATACATGGTCACCACAAAAGTCAAGGGGTTCTCCGGCACCATGATTGATGGGTGCCCGTCTTTCCTACAGGTCATGGGAGGCACAGTTTATTGCGGGGCACCTTCCAATAGGTTACATGGGGAACCTCTGGTTTTCCAAATATCACACACACACAAAACAAAGCCACCAAGACTCCCTTTACACAAGTCCCCATTGGAGGGTAGTAAATACTTTTAGTGGGAAAAATAAGGTCCCAAGAGACCTGAGAAGCAGAAAAAGTGGGTGGGATATCATATGCTCCATGGGTCATGAAAGGGTTAAGTAATTCACTGCATCACCCACCCCATCCATTGGCTGGCCAAGAGCTCATTCATTGCTTCATGCATTTATGGCGTGCTTTCTAAACTCCAGGCTCTATACCCATCAGTGCCGACTGTAGCAGACGCCACTGGTTCCCAGCCTATATCTCATTACCCGTACCACTTCAGTGCCCACTAGCCCATGATCCACTGCCCAACGCTTGTGTTTCTTTCCCTGAAGGCTTTCTCTGATCTTCAGAGTCCATGCCAGGTAAATACTGTCACCTTTCCTCCTCACCCCCACTTTACCCAGGAGCAGTCTTCAATTCATGACTATTGGGAACTGCTGTATAGATACCCCAGCTCCCTAGCCTTCAGGTGGCACGACTCTGAGGCTACACTGTCTCCCAGAGTTGAGCTCCACAGCAGAATTAAGCTTCAGGTGCCACAGTGGTAACCTCATGATAACTCTCCCTTTATTGGCTGCTTTCTCTGCCCTGTCTTGCTTCCTTGCCCCTTCTGTTATTTCCTGGGATTATCTCCCATACAGACTACTTGAATTTGAATCCTTGTCGCAGGGTCTGCTTCTGTGGAAACCGAAACTAAGACAGGAATGCAGAGCTCTCTACAGGTTACAAGTGCTGGATGGAATAGACAGAAGCCAGTGTGGGCACCAAGAAACAGGGCTCCTTGCCTGGCCAGGAGGTGGCCAGAGAAGATGTCCACAATGCCCCAGCTGAGTCTTAAAGGATGGGTAATAATTACACTCACTGAAGGGGAAGAGAAGGTTGAAAAGGTGTATATTTATGAGCACACAAAGCTTAGCATGCTCAAGGAATGCCAAGTCATTCTACATGCCGGGAGGTGGAGGTGGGAAGTGGTGTGGACCGAAGCCAAATCACAGGGAGGTAGGGAGGGACTGTAAGCCATGCTAAAGAGTCTGGGCTGTATCCTGAGGATGATAGCAAGTCTCTGGGGGCTTTTTAGCAAGAGTGTGGAAAGAGACCTTAAGGGGATAGCTTCATGGATGAGAATCAGCATAAAGCCAGTTCCCACAAGGTGGAGATCAATCATATCCCCGCTTTCACATTTCTCCGTCATTTCTGACACCAGCCACCCACATAGCACTCTCTCTTTCTCTCTCTTGGTCTTCTGTCTCTCTCTCTCCAACCCTAGCCACCCGGGGCTAGGACAGACCTTACAAGTTAAGAGGACACTGTCTTTAGGTTCCTTAGTTTGCTGGAATGACTCACAGAACCCACGGAAGACGTTATATTTGCAACTACTGGTTTTATTACAGTATCGTTGTTGTTGTTGTTGTGTGCCATCAAGTCGATTCTGACTCATAGTGACCCTATATATGACCGAGTAGAACTGCCCCATAGGGCTTCCTAGGGTATAATCTTTACGAGAGCAGATCACCAGGTCTTTTCTCCCAAGGAGCCGCTCATGGGCTTGAGCTGCTGACCTTCCAGTTAGCAGTCATGAACTTAATCATTGCACTATCAGGACTCCTTTTTACTATATTAAAAGGATATAAATCAGAATCATCATAAGGAAGAGATGCATGGGTGAGGTCTGGGAAGGTTCCCAATGAGGAGGTGCCATGTCTAGGAGGGCACATGACCCTCCCTTCACCAACCAGGAAGTTCTCTGAGCCTTCCTTTACCAGGCTTTTATCAGCTAGTCCTGCATGATAGGCTAATTCATGCCTCCTGAGACTAAGTGATATCTGCCTCCCAGGCGAGTCATTTCTGGTGTGGCCAGCCTCCACTTGCCAGCACAAATCATTAGATGTGTCCTGGAAGTCCCAGACGAAGACACCCCAAATGCCACCTTACTTTGGGTAAAACAAGGTCCTTTACCCTACAGACTTAAATTAGGGTATGGCAGAAATACAAAGCCAACCACACAGGTGGGGTGCTCAGTGATTCAGCTAGACTTCAGGGGCTCTCAGAGCTGGCTGCAGGTTAGAATCACCCGGGGAGCTTCTAAAAATTACTAATGATGGGGACCCTCCCAGGACGATCACATCAGAATCTCTGGAGGTTGGGCCCAGACATTAGTACTTGTCAACATCTCCGCAGGAGATCCTGATGCAGATCTAGGACTGAGAACTACTGAACTAGAGAAGACACTTCCATCTCAGCTCTGCACCAACCAAACAACCCTCAGGGAAGAAAACTCGTGTGGAAACTCACCCGATGTCTGCTAAGCATGTTTCCCTTTAAACATTGATATCGAACCATGAAGAAAAGTGTGATCCAGGTCAGCACAAGAGAGATCATGAAGGCAATGAAAAATCCAGCTGCGTGGAGACCATGGTTTGGTAGAACCTACAGGGACGAGAGAGAAGGATTTGTTTGTGGTTTCATTTTTACATCTTTCAAGTCAAGTAGATGACTAACAATTCTAGGAGAACAAGGACAAGCTTTGCAGTCAAAAAAGCCAGCCTGGTTTTGCAGCCCAGCTCCGCCACCTACTGGCTATAGGACTTGAGGAAGTCACTGGAGCCCTCTGGGCTTGAGCTTCCTTACAGCATGACTTCCGTGAAGCACATTTTTAAGGGTTACACAAGACAGGCACTCAGGGAGCTGGTGCATGGTGGCTTGCACATAGTAGGTTACATGTAGCCCCATGCCTGGCACACAGCAGGCACTCAAGAAATGTTAAAATGTTAAATCCCCACATGGGATACACAACCCCAAGGCAACACTAGGAATCCATGAAATTTTTGAAGACAAAGGGGCAGAATTTGCCAGAGGAAGAACTGGCAAGACGCCGACCCCTTCCCTGGACACTGTCTGCCCTGCCCTGCCCTGCCCAGCCCTGCCTTGCCCTGCCCTGCCCTGCGAACACTTCCCATTAGAGGCACGGTCACTGTGGACTCTGGGAGCACAGTGGAGAATGCACACGGCTGGGTAGGCATTACAAACCAGGGACCATGTACCTTGAGACTCACTGGGCTAAGTGCTTCACAAAGATTAGCTCACTGAACTCTCCGCAGAACAGTTTGAGTACTGGATTTCAGATACCACAGACACCTTGAGCAAATGACTTAACCTCTGTGAACCACAGCCTCTCATCTGTAAAATGGGGATAAAATAATTACTTCAAAGCAGGAAGATAAGCAGATCCTCGGGTGGGCAAACAAGCACTCAACTACCAGCTGAAAGGTTGGCAGTTTGAAGTCACCCAGAGGCATCTTGCAAGAAAGGCCTGGCAAGCTGCTTCCAAAAGGTCACAGCCTTGAAAACCCTATGGAGCAGTTCTGCTCTGCACACATGGGTCACCGTGAGTTGGAATCGACTCAAGGGCAACAACAACATGAATACTAAATAAAATAATAAATACAAAGGAGCTTAGCACAAAGCTTGACTTATTTATTTATTCAACAAATATTTATTGAGTGTCTACTGCATACCAGGCCATAGACTAGAAGCTAATCAGGTAGTGATTCTTTCCTCCCTTGTGTGATTATACTCTATGTATCACTCACTAGGTCTTGGGCTTACTCTCTTTTGGTGAATAAGGGCCTCTAACAGCACAGAAAGAGCACGGACTCTGATGGCCTGGGTGTGGGGCCCAATGCTGCCACTTATCGGCCATGTCCCTATGGAGCAGTTCTACTCTGCACACAAGGGGTCGCCATGAGTCAGAATCAACTCAACGCAACAGGTTTGGTTTGGCATTGGGAAAATCACTTCATCTCTCTTTGCCCCTGCTCCTTCTCTTGTTGTAGACAATAACTCTCAGATGGTTGTTCTGAGGATTAAAAAAAAAAAAATTCAAGGGAAATGGTGAGAGGAATGCCTGGCCCACAGCACTTGCTCTCTAAATGCAAGTGACTGCCGTCCTCCCTTCCCCTGTGACCTGTGTAAATAAGGGGACTCTATTGATACAGTGTTAAGACTGAATTGTGTCCCTAAAACATGTATTGAAGTCCTGGCGCCTATATCTGTGGATGGGATCCTATCTGGAAATAGGGTTTTCTTCGTTATGTTAATTTTGTTATCTTCACGCCCAAGTAGGTTGGGTCCTAAACCTAATCACTTCTGAGTTGTAAAAAGAGCCGAATAGACACAGAGACACACAGGGGGAGATACTGTATGGGGACAGACACACACGGCAAGTGCATCTACAAGTTCAGGAACACCAAGGATTGCTGGCGACTGCTAGAAGCTGAAATAGACAAGGAAGGACCTCCTCCCCAGAGCCACATCCTGAATTCAGACTTCTAGCCTCCTGAACTGTGAAAAAATTAATTTCTGTACTTTAAAGCCACCCATTGATGGTATTTTTGTTACAGTAGCATTATGTAACTAAGACATGCAGTGACGGAGATACTATGTGTGGTCATTCAATAAGGGGTCCCAAGAATATAGACATGAAGTAAGATGGCCTCCCATTTTTTATAATCCTTTTTATCTTTTGGAGTGCTTTAACCAACTTGTTTATACTCAAAAATGAAAGGAAAAAAAAGTCTGTATCTATAGAGCTTTAAAATGTTCAAATCCCATCCCACCCCCAAAAATGCAGAACAGAATTTCAAATTCTCATGGAATCCAGACTTCCTGGAGCCATGGAGGGTGGATGAACCCCTGAAACTACTGCCCTGAGATAATCTTCAAACCTTAAACCAAAAATATCCCCTGAATCATTCTTAAGACCAAACAATAACTTAGCTTAACTAGTAAAAAAGGTCTGCCTTGAGCATTAAGCTTTTTTAAGAACTATCTATTTGGGATCAAATTGACAACAGCAACTCGAAAAATTAAACAGGAACCTTAGCGGGCAGTGAGTTTATGTTAATGCACGAGGAACAGCTCGGAAAAGGAAGGTGAGAATGCTTGCACAACTCAAAGAATGTAATCAATGTCACTGAATTGTACATGTAGAAAATGTTGAATTGGTGTATGTTTTGTTATGTATAGTCTCAACGACAAGAAAATAAATAAAATTAAAAAAAAAAGAAAGCACCTCCCCCTTAGCCCAGTGATTTCATATATAGGACTCACTCCTCAGGAAATAATTCAGAAATGTGCAGAAAGATTTATATACAAGCATTATTTTATCCAAAAATATGGGCAAAGATTTATTTATATATAAAGCTATTTTTCAAAGAATTACGTAAGTAACAAAATTTGAATACAACCTAGATGCCTACAATACGGAAAATGGTTAAATATTTTAAGCTTCTATAAATTATTTCATCCATCAATATGCAATTACGCAGCCATTTTATTAGTTTTAAAAAGGAGAGTAATACATGCATGGCAGAAAAAAAAATTTCAGAGAAACCAAGCGTTTAAAAAAGAGAAGCAAGTTTCTTGTGTTTCCTTCTCATATCCATACCGCTAATCCCATTTCGCTGAAAGCAGAGACTACCAGAAAGATGTTTACCTGTGTTTTATTGACTATGCAAAGGCATTTCACTGTGTGGATCATAACAAATTCTGGATAACATGAATTCTACTGGAAAAATATTAAACCATGCAGGAAGTATCAAAAGCAGATGGAAGGAATACACAGAGTCACTGCACCAAAAAGAATAGCTTGATGTTCAATCATTTCAGGAGGTGGCATATGATCAAAAACCGATGGTACTGAAGGAAGACGTCCAAGCTGCACTGAAGACACTGGTGAAAAACAAGGCTCCAGGAATACTAATTGAGATGTTTCAAAAAATGTATGCAGTGCTCGAAGTGCTAACGCATCTATGCCAAGAAATATGGAAGACAGCTACCCGGCAAACTGACTAGAAGAGATCCATATTTTTGCCTGTTCCAAAGAAAGGTGATCCAACAAAATGCAGAAATTATCGAACAATATTATTAATATCACATGCAAGTAAAATTTTGCTAAAAATAATTCAAAAGCAGTTGCAACAGTACATCGACAGGGAACTGCCAGAAAGTCAAGCAGGATTCAGAAGAGGATGTGGAACCAGGGATATCATTGCTGATGTCAGATGGGTCTTGGCTGAAAGCAGAGAATACCAGAAAGATGTTTAGCTGTGATTTATTGACTACGCAAAGGCATTCTACTGTGCGGATCATAACAAATTATGGATAACATTTTGAAGAACAGGAATTCCAGAACAATTAATTGTGCTCATGAGGAACCTGTACTTAGACCAAGAGACAGTCGTTCGAACAGAACAAGGGGATACTGCATAGTTTAAAGTCAGGAAAGGTGTGTGTCAGGGTTGTATCCTTTCACCATACTTATTCAGTCTGTAAGCTAAGCAAATAAACCAAGAAGCTGGACTATATGAAGAAGAAAGTGGTATCAGGATTGGAGGAAGATTCATTAACAAACTGTGCTATGCAGATGACAACCTGCTTGCTGAAAGTGAAGAGGACTTGAAGCACTTACTGATGAAGATCAAAGCCTTCAGTATGGATTACACCTCAACATTAAGAAAACAAAAATCCTCACACCTGGACCAATGAGCAACATCATGCTAAACGGAGAAAAGACTGAAGATTGAAGTTGTCAAGGATTTCATTTTACTTGGATCTACAGTCAACACTCATGGAAGCAGCAGTCAAGAAATCAAACAAGGAAGTTGGGCCAAGATGGCGGAGTAGTCAGACACTTCTGGTGGACCCTCTTACAACAAAGAGTGGAAAAAAGAAGCGAATTGATTATACATGGCAATCTGCAAGCCCTGAACATCAAAGGCAGAATGGAGGAACTGGACCGAGTGGCAAGGGGAGGGAGAGACGGTTCGGAAGCAGTGAGGAGTTGCCAGACCTGACCCAGCAAGAGCCTGAGCTCTTCAGGCCTGATCAGCTTGGAGTGAGCTTTGAGGCAGGCAAGCGGCAGTCCTCGAGAGGTGTGTTTTCCCCACTGGGAAAGACCCAGTGCCAGAGAATCTACATGGCCACCCAGAACCAGTGAGAAGCAGCCCTTGATTGGTGAAAGGTCAGTACTTGTGTATGGCCTACCATGCAGATCAAAAACACCCCCCTTAGGGGAAAAACCTCTCTCCCATTTACCTCCCCGCTCCCTGCTCTGTACTGAGTCCCAGACCGGCTTCAGCAATTGCCAAGTCCCCTGGGCCGGAAGTAGAATGCGTCAACACTCCCGGAGCCATTCTCCCTGCCTTGGACAGTGAACAAATTAACAAACAGAGGAAAAAATAAACTGCTGGCTCCTCTAAGCCAGGAATCCAGGGTAGGCACAGCTCCTTTGCCTAGGCACAGGCATAAGGATCCACAGACTTTGATTGCTTTTCCCGCTGCATAGACTTGTGTGGGCCCATCTCAGCAGCATAGGCCCTCATTACCGCAGTACAACAGGGTATATACCAGAACTCTAACTTCAACTG